AAAAAAGATGCTGCAGGGGCCTCCCTAGTGGTGCAAGGGGCTAAGTGTCAGTACTATGAAGCAATCCACAGCTACTGCAGCATGAGTTCGATCCCCGGCCAGGGAGCTACCCACATGGCACAGCAGACCTCTCCTGACTTGCCCGCTGCTCCCCTCAGCAATGTATTTCAGTCAATCTGCCTGTTCTGTTCCACACTCTGTCTCTGGTGAATCCTCTCACCCCCCTGCACCTCTGGCCTATACCCCAGTTCTTGTATGCATAAATAAATCTTTAAAAAATATGCTGCATGCCCTATGTCGACAGGGAAATGCAAATTAAACAGTGAGAGACCACCACGCACAGGTTAGGATGAGCAAAACCCAGAACACAGATGACACCAAATGCGGATGAAGATGAACAGAATTCTCATGAACAGAATTCTCATCCACTGTTGGCAGGAATGCAAAATAGGACAGCCACATGGGCCTGGTGGCTTCCCAGCAGTCCAGCTCCTTGGCATTGACCCAGAAGACCAGAAAACCTACACTGACTTTTACAGCAGCTGCGGTCCAAATCTTTATCCATTCACCTTCTGAAGGACACCTTGGCGGCTTCCAAGTTTTATATTTTATTTAATACAAGGGTATTACTTACCATTGATTTTCAAAACTGTACAAATTTTGGAGGCACATGTTTTAGTCTTTTTGATAATAGCCATTCTCTTGCGTGTGAGATATCAAGAAAGGTGATTACACAATGTTGTTTCGATTTTCATTTCTTAAAAATAAGAAATGATGAACATATCATTTGGCCATCTATATGTCTTCTTTGCGGAGGTATCTATTCAGAACCTCTGCCCACTTTTTTAATCCAGTTGTTGTTTGTTTAGTTTTATGAGCATTTTATGGATTTTTGGGTATTAACCCATTGTCAGATGCATGATTTGCGAATACCTTCTTCCATGAAGTAGGATGTCTTTTCATTTTGATGATAGCTTCTTTCACTGTGCAGAAGTTTTCTAGTTTGATATAGTCCCACTTGTTTTGGGGGGCTTTAATTCTTTATTGAAGTTTATATCTGTCTCCAAGTTTTGAATGGAAGCAAACAACCCTCCAATAGGTGAATGGATAAAGAAATGGTGATATAGCCAAACAGTGGAATATTAGTCAGCACTACAAAGAAACACACTATCAAGCCACAGAAAGATATGCATGTCACTCAGTGAAAGAAGACATTCTGAAAGAGTTACAGACTGTGTGACATTATATGACATTCTGGAAAAGGTAAAACGATACGATAAAAGATCACTGGTTGCCAAGAAATTTCAGTGAAAACATATTAAAAATACGTTACATGACACTATAAAGATGGATAATATGTTACATATATATCCAAAGCTACAGCATGTATGACACCAAGAGTGAATCAGAATATTAACTATGGACTTTGGGTGACTTTGAAGTCAGTGTAGGCTCATCAGCTATTACAAATGTACCCCTCTAGTAAGGGTTGTTGAGGATGGAGGGGCTAAGTATATGTACATAGGAAGTCTCTGCACCTTCTACTCAATTTTACTATAAATCTAAAACTATGCTTTAAAAAAATGTCATGAATAATTTCTTTTTTTAATCCAAGAAAGGGAGTACAGGTGATCAGAAGCTAAGACAGAACATAATCATAAAAGGAAGGATGGGATATTGAAATAGAGAAAGAAACCTACTTGAAGGAAGATGCTCAGAACCAAGGAGAATGGAGTTGGTTTGGATCAACTGCTAGAAGAAAGAGGATAGCTCCTCAAATAGTGATGATAGGTACATCAAGTAACATAAAGACCTCAGCTGATGTTACAGCATGAATAAGAAATGAAACTAACTGGTAAGGTTACACAACATGACATAGCTGATATATCAACCTTTGAAACTCAGAAGCAATTAAGGAAAATTAATTTTTCTCAGACATGGCAAGCTGACAAAGATATGTTTAGAAAATATAAAGGGTCTCAACAAGCCCAGGATTCCAAATGAATATATAAAAATGACTCTCTACCTGGGTCCATACTGGTTAGAAGGAAAGTGACTCCGAGAAAGAGAGAGAGACACACAAATGAGCCAAAATCCAGAACTGGGAAGATGATTATGAAGTGGTGAAATTCAGTGAGACCTCATGAGTGTTGTAGGTGTGTGTGTGATCAGAAGATGATGTTCAAAAGAATGTCAAAGTCAGAAACCTTGCAGATGCAAGATTTCTAAGTGAGGATGATGGGTTGGAATTATGCCTGTGTGCACACAGCAGACACGGAATTGAAATGAAAGTGACTAGGAAGGAGCTGGCTAGCATTTCAACTGGTGTCAACGTGGATGATGATATAACTGAAGACAGAAATAGGTAGGGCAACCATATGACCTGGTTTGTCTGAGTCCCTTAATTTATGACTGTGATCCCAGTGTCAAATATGGTTTAGATAATAAATTGTATTGCTGCCTAATAGGAGGTAATACAGTAAATTAAAAGGGAAAAAATGTGCTAACATGGTATTCTGGTGTCCTACAGTTTGGCGATTGTAACAAAGATGACAGAGAGGAACAGTATAATCAGCTACTAAATGATGTTACAAATAAATGAGGGACTCAAGGCAAGAACAAGAAGCCCCGTGGGTCTGTTTCCAGGGCTGGTGAGAGGGCCACAGAGAGGGTTTCATAAGATATCACGTTAGTAATTAACATTAAGTCAGGAAGTTGGAAGAGGTGCCAGAGGAAAAGATCAGGGCACATTGAAATCTAGTCACACTACGATGGAGGTTTTACAAGACAGAAAAAATGTGCTAGATGGGTACAAACCTAAGAAACCCTGTCACGTTCAGGATAAAGCAAAAGCACCCCTTTTTAATGACAAATCCCCTGTGGACAGGTGGTCAGGAATGCAGGCCATCAACCCGTGACACAGGGCTGCCGTGCTCAGCTACTCCCTAAAAGTCTGACATCAGTGCAGGAGCTTTTTTATTTACTCGGCTTTATTTGGATTGTTTAGCTGGCACACAGTCCTACTTCAGTCAAGGGAAGTGAGCAAGATAAATATCCAAGAGCCTCGGAACACACTGTCCATCTTCAACTTCCCCTTTAAAGATTTTTTTCCAATTTTTGGATATTTTTGTCAAATTTCCCTTTTTCATACTGGATGCATAGGGAAAGCTCTGGTATCAAGAATTTTTTCAAAAAAGGACTGAAACTTTCAAATCTAAATACAGGGCCTCCCCGGTGGCGCAGTGGTAGAGCGCTGGGTTGCGAAGCTGCCCGCGGCCTCTGCAGCGCCGGTTCAATCCCCGGCTGCTCCCCGGCCACCAGAGGAGGGTCCCACATGGCGTGCAGACCTCTCCTGCCGCCCGCTGCTCCCCTCAGCAGTGTACTTCGGTCCTTCTGCCTGCTCTGCTCCCCGCTCTGGCTCTGGTGAATTCTCTCACCCTCCCGCGCTTCTGACTGTACCCAGTGCATGTATAAACAAAACAAACAAACAAGCAAACAAATAAATAAAGAAAAACATGCCTCTATTAAAAAAAAAAAAAATCCAAATCTAAATACAACTTAGGAAGAATATGAAGAAGCTATTAAAAAAAAATCAGTAATTGCGGAACTCCAACTTTTAGACCAAGTAACAACTAAATCAAAAGAATTGAGCCAGTGGACATTTCTACATTTGGCACATGGAACACAGGTGTGTAGACCGGCCATGGCCCAGAACCCAAATGACTGATTATATGGAGAAGCAGTTCAGAAGCTTTCCATGGGCAAATCCACCACCAATACTTCCTACCCCAAGAAAAGGTGAATTTATAGTATTTAAGTTTTAAAACTTTTACAAATCTAGAAGAATGTTATGACCATAGTGCTGACTTTTTGCTTATTTCTTCCTGTTGTTATTTATAATTTGTTTGTTCAACTTTTGCCCTGTTATACTGAACACAAATTTTCTAAGGCTGTTAACAAGGAAAGACAAAAGAGGTTAACTACCCAAAAAAGAGTCCTGATTAAATTAAGAAATAACCACTGAAAAGAAGTCGTGCATTATAAATAGATAAGAAATGACAAATAGGATTCATAAGTGTACATGGATACTAATATATTTGTAAAATATATTATTTGTGTAAAAATTCTACAAAATATTTTCAAAAAGCTGTGCCCAAATTATAAAAGTCATAAAACTTTTAGTAATAATTATCAATCTTCCAATTTATATTTATTGCTCTGCTTGGAAATCTATAGTTCTAGGGGACAGCTGAGAGAATATGGAGGAAACAAGTAGGATATGATCGTCATTAGCTTTGAGGGTAAAACAGAACATGAAATTGTTGACTGAATCAGATGGCCTTTCTATCCCGAAGATTCTGATTTCATCATTTCATGACTTCAATATAGATGTTTGTCTTTATCTAAATATAAGAATCAGATAATAACGTGTAGGATTAAAAGCCAAAGAAAAAGAGGTGAAAATATATTTCTTAACAATCACAAATCCAATGGTAGCTAATAAACCTTAACAAACATTTATAAATGTCTCTGATTTTGTTCACAAAGGAAAAGAGGCAAAAAAAAATAATAAAATAAAATAAAAAACCCCCACAAAACCCACATAAATCACACACACAAAAAAAACATAAAACCAAATCTTTCTTAACAAAAATTCACATTTAGCTAATCACTGATAAAAGTATCCCAAAATAGTGTCAAATTATTTCTAAATTACAGACCAAAACAGAATGCATGTCAATCACTCAGATTTCAATTCTCTGTTAGGACTACCAGTGACCTATTACATCATCAACAGAATTTTGATTCCCAGCTCCTGAGATGAAAATAAAAGTTCAAATTAACTCAGTGAGGGTTGATCCATTACAGCAGTCCATAGTCATAAAAGGAGTTGATTTTTTTTTTTTCCCCCACAAAAGCAAACTTTCATGGGAGTGGCAGAGGTAGGTACATTTACAGAAGCAAATGGTAAACGAGGCCCAACACAAAGGCTCCCTTACCTCCCATCAGCATAGTCTGTGTCTGCTCCACCCCACCAGACATCTGAGTCATCCTCTTCTGCGTCTGCGGAATCGATGTTGTCACTCTCCTCGGCCAGTGGGCAACATACGAACTCCACTCCTCGGAACTTGTCAATTCCACATGGCAGCAACATGCCATAGTCATGCAGGTTGGTGCTCTTCTCACTACAGGTCTACAAAGGCGAGGAGAAAACGGTGAGGGTGGTGGGGTAGCTGTCTCTCATTCTAAGAAAATACCAAGTTTAATCATCAACACACATATCCAATATATCACTATTTTACAGTGGAAAGAATCATTTGCTTCTGCAGTGGTTTAATAGAATCCACTCAACAGAGTTTCTGTCTTTTTTTTTTTTTAAGATTTATTTATTTATGCATGCAAGAACTGGGGTACAGGCCAGAGGTGTGGGTGGTGAAAGGATTCACCAGAGACAGAGTGGGGAACAGAATAGGCAGATTGACTGAAATACACTGCTGAGGGGAGCAGTGGGTGAGTCAGGAGAGGTCTGCTGCACCATGTGGGTATCTCCCTGGCCAGGGATTGAACTCGTGCTTCAGTGGCTGTGGATAGCTTCATAGGTTGCATCTTAATCCCTTGCATCACCAGGGAGGTCCCTCAACAGAGCTTCTTTTGTTAATTTGGTATTCTGAATTTTTTTAACTTTATTACTTATTTAAGTAAGGTGCTACAGCATAGCAGTTTATTAAAACAACAGGAATGGAAACTGGGAAATAAATACAGGAGACTATATGAGTACATAAATACCAGAAAATCAAAGCTTTCTGGCTTCATTAGCATATCAGGAAGCTGTCAAGGCTCCCTTATATCCCCCACTCGCTTCCACCTCCATTACAGATGGATGTTTCTCTCACTTGAACCTTATTCTTGAAATTTTCTCTTGGCTCTCATCCAGAATAACAATCCTGAGACAAGAAGAAATTATCTTCCACTATGAATCAGACCTTATAGTCATTAGAGATTTCTCCTTCAATATCTTTTCTTGCTATCTTGGGCTTTACAAAATTTGCACAAATCTAGATTAACATAAAGTTCTGAAAGTATTCATTGGTGGCAGAAGAAAGATGAATAATTCACAATATGCAGGTAAACAATGAAAATATTACAGAGTGCATTGTGACCTCGGGGGAAATGAGTCATTTTTATTTTCTAGTAATGAAGAACTTATTTAACAAACTCAAGAAGAAATGAGAAATGAAATTACCAGATGGGTAGCTGGGCTTTACATGATTTGGTTTGCTTTCATAAGGTAAGTTCTTAAACCACCCGAAGACATTTTTATACAAAGAACATTTTGTTTTACAGTAAATTTGAACATACTACTTTATAACAGGCAAAAATAATGCTAGATCTTAAGTGATACTTTTCTGCCTAACAGTTTAAGGGTATGATACACTGGTTAAATCAGGGTTTCTCAGCCTTGGCACTACTGAAATTTTGGACCAACATGATAATTCTTGGGGGAGGGAGCAGGAGGCTGTCCTGGTCATTGAAGGATGTTTGTAGAATCTCAGGCCTTCAGCCACCAATCCAATAGCACCACTCCCTGCAGCTCTGACAACCAAAAATGTCTCCAGACATTCACATGTGTACCAGGGAGGGAAAATGGAGCAAAACTGACCCCAGCTTTGAGAACCACTCCACCATATAAGGTCCCTAATTCTAGGAGACCGACTGAGCCACAAAAAAATTACAGTTAACATTGAATAACATAGGTTTGAACTAGGAGGGTCCACTTGTCAGTATTTTATTTTTGTTTTTGCTCTTAAACACAGCTGACACTGTTCATATTCACAAATTCACAGATTCAAAGATATGGGTTGGTTGAATCTGCAGCTACTGACAACTGGCTCTTCAGGGACCTGAGCTGTGTACAAGGAGCAAATGAAACCAATGATCTTCAAGAATGCCAAAGGCTGACTGATTGTCCTGGGGGAATCAAAAGACACAAGTGGATTTTCCAATTCCTTGGGGGCAGGCATCCCTGATCCCCCTACACCCACACTGTTCAAGAATCAAGTATGTATCATTTATTAGACAATTGTCATAATATATCAAAGGGATGGAGCAGTTTTAGGGTGATAATATCAAAAAGTGGTATTTTGAAATAATTGTCTCGTAAATATTCCTGGATTTTTTTAAAATAATAATTAAAAAAAGTTTATTTATCAATATAATTGTTGTCTCAAAATACTCCCTAAAATGCAACTGCGATGGTTCCCAGGAAACCGTGCCTTTCAAAGAAAGAAATGGAAGTGCTGGTACCTCTTTGGCGACAGTGTGCCAGTGGAGGTGGGTTTCACAAACATCCATCCTCTCCTGGTGTAAGAACTTGCACTTGTCGGGAACGAGGAGGGCATCGCTCACGAACTCACCAACTGCAAGGAAGGAAAACACTTATGTCATTCCTCCATCTTGTCCAGAGAGCATCAAGGAAAGACAGTCCACACAGACTTTACAGGAGCCACACGACTTTGTGAATGACGAAGCAAGCAGCCAGAGAAAGGCCAGGATCTTTACAAGGCTGAGTTCTGTCTCCTTCAGCAGGTTAGGCCCTGACCCACTGCACCTAGATGGTTAAGATATTTCCTTCATGGGGCTTCCCTGATGGCACAAGGGGTTAAGCACAGCACTATGAAGCCATCCTCAGCCACTGCAACACGAGTTCGATCACCAGCCGGCCAGGGAACAACCCACAGGGTGCAGTAGACCTCTCCTGTCTCACCCGCTGCTCCCCTCACAGTGTACTTCAGTCAATCCACCTGTTCTGTTCCCCACTCTGTCTTTGGTGAGGTCTCTCACCAACCCCATCTCTGGCTTGTACCCCAGCTCTTGTATGCATAAATACATAAATCTTTGAAAGATATTTCCTTCATGTTTTAAGTGGCATCTTTATTTAACGAATACGTATCTTCTACCGTAAAGCTGCTCAACTATAGGATCGATTAGCACTCCATCTCAACAAGGGTGAAACACAGACGGACACTGCCCGGGCCATATGCTGAGCAGAAACGATGTAAACAATTGCTGACTCCTCCCCACTGGATACAGTTTGTAAACTAACAGACGTTTTAGCATTTTTCTACTTCCTAAACAAGAAGTCTGTGTGTACGCACTTGTATCACATGTTTATAAACGTGAAGCATACGTATTTACATACACAGAGTTTACTTCAAAAGCATACCATGCAAATCATCTCTAGTATTCTGGGTATTGCAGACTAAAGACATTATAGAAAGACCTATTCTGGGCCTCCCTGGTGGTGCAAGGGGTTGGGGCTGACCGCAGCCTCTGCAGCGTGAGTTCGGTCCCCAGCTGGCCGGGGGGCAGCCCACATGGTGTAGCGGACCTCTCCTGACTCACCCGCTACTCCCCTCGTCAGTGTACTTCAGTCAGCCTGCCTGTTCTGTTCCCCACTCTGTCTCTGGTGAATCCTCTCACCCCCCACAGCTCTGGCCTGTGCCCCAGTTCCTCCATGCATAAATTGATAAATCTTTAAAAAAAAAAAAAAAAAAAAGAAAGAAAGAAAGCCCTATACTAATGAAGGTGAAAGAGGGAATCATTCTGACATGTAAGCTATGAGCTTAATTTTTCTTTCTTTTTTTTTTTTTTGGTTCACTACATTTTCAGTGAACTAAAATTGTAGTGTACTAAAAATTTTATCCCTAATATTTTAGCACAGGTTCTCCACACAGTAGTCAATCAATATTTGTTGATGATTGAAAAAATAAAATGCTGTAACAGAGATGAAGAAAGTGCTGGGTCCACATAGTACATAAATTTGTTTGGGTGACCCAGGAGACCGCAAAATAGAAATAACATTGGAGATGAGTTCAAGTGGATGAGGAGGAGAACATGAGGGAAGAAATGACTAGAAGTCCCATGATGTAAGGACAGAATCTACCTTGTTTACCATTCTCACCCCAACCCCTGGCCCAGTTCTGGCCAATATGACCTCACTGGAGGGAAAAATGGATGGATAGCAAAAGGCCATTCAGTGTGAAAGGACCCTCTCGTACAGCGAGAACTAAGAGCTGGCAAAGCACATCTGTGCAGGAGGCCACTGTGGCTGGAGCAAAAGTGTAGTTGAGTGGAGGTGAGGCTGGAGAAAGATGCTGGACTCCAGTATCAGAGCTCAAAAGATGCTGTAAACAGGGCTGGCAAGCTCAAGTTTGCTTTCAGATAAACTCTTCAATCAAGTGAAGGATGGACTGGCACAGTGAGTCCACGAGAGCAGGGACACTGCTGAGTGGGTCACTATAATCTTTCATGCAGACACCGGAACAGATTTAAACCACCCCCGACTAAGCCAGGGACATAGGCTGTCCACATACCGGCAAAGATGACAATGCATTTTTTCTTTCATAGGATGCTACAGGACATATTCTGAAATGCAGCATAAAGAGAGATAAAGGCCCAAAGCATGACAAGATAAAAAAGCCTTTTCATTGTCTTTATATAAATGGGTGGCCGATATTCCATGTGCCTCACTGCATCTCAGCTGCATAACAGCCACACAGTGGACCTCTTATACACATCCCACTTTTCAGGGGAGAAATACCAGCCCAGAAAGGGGCTCAGAGCTACCTACCTGCAAGAAATTATAACCTAGCTCCAGAGATAAACAATAAGAAATAGCAAAATCGGGCCTCCCCTGGTGGTGTAGCAGTTTAGCGCTGGGCTGCGAAGCTGCCTGCAGCCTCTGCAGCGCCGGTTCGATCCCCGGCCACTGGCAAGGGTCCCACATGGCGCGACAGACCTCTCCTGCCATGTCCGCTGCTCCCCTCAGCAGTGTATTTCATGAATCTGCCTGTTCTGTTCCCCGCTCTGGCTCTGGTGAATCCTCTCACCCTCCCGCGCTTCTGACTATACCCAGTGCTTGTATAAATAAATAAATCTTTAAAAAAAAAAAAAAAAGGAAAGAAATAGCAAAATCATGTAAGAGATACCACATTACTTTAACATGATTACTGCCAAAATAAACCCCAAAAATGCAGATGAAAACACCAAATCTTAATCACTAGATTACCAGGGGGTGCCCAAAAATCCAGGTTAGACAGGTGATCTCTCCCAAAACCAACTCATCAACCCCTGGGGAATCCAAAGGGTTTCTGAGGTCAACCATAGTTGCTGGCAAGAATACCTGATACCCAACGTGTCTCAGCTCTCAAGCTCCGGGAGATCAGCTGTGATGTTTGGCCTGAAGATGCCTCACTTGCTAACTCTGGTCAACCAAGCCATGTTGCCATTATGTGCAAGGTCCAAAGTATCAGTAAGGTTTGCTATTTTATAAGTAATCAACAGAAAATTCAAGTGTCTGGTCAAGCACAAGACAATCGGAAGCAGATTTTAAATTCTCTTCAAGTTGGCCTGAGTTCTTCGGGTATAAAATGAAAAACAGCTGTCAAATGCCAATGAGTTCCATTTCACTGGCCCTTAGGCCAACCTGCTGAGGATTAGATTTGAACACAAAGCCAAAGTTGCTGAAAGATATTTACCGATGAAATCTAATGTTCATGAAAAGAACGGTCATTACATTAGTTTTTAAAAGGATAGGTTTTTTTTATTTGTGAAATGATATTTCATTTAGTATTGTAAAGATGCTCTTAAGTTTCTAATATGCATATGACCAAGAAATAAATGCCCCCCAAGTGAGATTGCTTTTTCAAAGGATTAATACTGGTTCTCTAATAAGCCCTCAGGGCTCACAGCACAATAAGAAAACTCATTGTTCTCTAACATTAAAATAAATTTAGCAATGAAATGTGGTTTTACAGCCTTACTTACATTACTTTCAAATTTGATGAAACATCCTGGAATGTGACACAACAGAAATGTGAAGCAATTAAATCACAATAATCTGTTAAAATCTTTTAATAAGAATTGAGAAATGTGGTGAAAAGGAATGAGTGCTTTCTCGCAAATGAGCTCAATGTGGTTTATATTTTTTTCCTTTTTAATTCGGAGAGAATTATTTTAAAAAACAGAATAGGGCAGGTGACATGTGAGAAATCTGTACTTTTGAGTTTTATTCTGAAACTAAAATTACCCTAAAAAATGAAGTATATTAATGTGTCTCCAGAGACCTTATCTAGAATGAGTGCACTTTTATTTTTTAAAAGATCTTCTGTTTGTCAGCTCTCTATCAGGTAAACCAACTCTTACCAGCATTCAAGTGAAAGAGACCAAAAAGCAAAAATAAATTAAGTTTCAGAATGAAAAATCATGCTCCTGTTTATGCCAAATGATGGAATTTGGGATCATTTCACCCCAGCGAATATTCATCACTGCAGACCATATGTATTTATCAATAATCACACAACCTGGTTTCTAGTTTAAACAGTACACAATTTATATTACACAAACATACTGATACACAGACAGACTGACACAGACACACACACTTACACATACACACACCAGCTGAAAGGAAATTTTCAAAGCTAATAAAACAAGACTTGAGTTTGGCTTTTTGGCTAAAAGTCTTGGCAATTTCTGGACCTACTAAACATCCAGCAATTCCACTCCTAGGTATTTACCCAAAGGACACAGAAACATCAACTCCAAAGAGCACCTGCACCCCTATGTTTATAGCAGCACTATTTAAAATAGCTAAGCTTTGGAAACAACCCAAATGCCCAAAATAGATGACTGGATCAAGAAGATGTGGTACATATACACTGTGGAATATTACTCAGCAATCAAAAAAGATAAACACATGCCATTTGCAGCAACATGGATGGCGCTGGAAGGGATCATGCTCAGCGAAATAAGCCAGAAAGAAAAAGAAAAATACTGGATGGTCTCACTCATAGCAGAAATCTAGAAAACTTAAACAAGAGACCAGGAAAAAGAATAACTATAAGAAAGTAAAAATCAAAATCAACAAACAACTATGAACCAGAGACACTTTAAGAGCGGTGGGGGGTGGGAAGAGGAGGGATTGGGGTCAAATAAGGGGATTGCAATTGTATGGGGAATATAAAAATAAAATATATTAAAAAAAAAAAAAGAAAAAGAAAAAAAAAATAAATTTTCATGGAAACCCTAAAAAGTCTTGGCAAGGTGAACAATGATGCCAAAATTCTGCAGGCCCCCATCCTCCAGTTCTCTGGTGGTCTTTGAGGAGACTGTCAAATGACTTCGTTGTACAGATGGAAGGGAGAACGCCCAGACCAAATTGCTCACCCACAGAGCCAACCGCCAGGAGAACTGGTTCCCCACCCCCCCCAAGTATGGGGGTTCCCCTCACCGCCATTTAAACTTGAGTCAAAATGGCTTATTTACAGGCAAATTCACTTTGGCTTTTATAAAAGCAGTTGTACTTCTGACTACACAATACTTCAATTATTATAATGTACACTGTGGTCAATTCAAT